AAATTCGATTTTATGTTGTGATGACATTCCTCTGTTATTCACATAATTCTCAGAAATCAATTAGATATTTTCCCATAGTTGTTTACATGCTGTAGAATTTAAACGATGTTTACAAGAAGCTTTATGGATGTTCGTATAATGCAGCCTACATATATATTTTGCTTCCCTGTTCAATTTAAAATGTTTACAATTCCGTAACTACAACATTTCGGTAAGATTGTTTACCGAAGTTGTAGAGGCCACAGTTTAACCTTGCATTGTTGGAAATAACATTTCGTGTAATAAGATTCCTGTCAACTAGACAAAGATTGAGGTTTATGGATAAGTCGTTGATTTTAGTACATATCTATACAAGTACGATGGACGTGGTTACTAATGGCAGTTTTGGATGTGACTGTGAATGTAGTGTGGTAGGAGTAATAGTGTTTGAGAGTGTTATTTGTTGTTTTTAAACATATGAGTCATGTGTGTCAAATAAACGAAACAAGTTTGTATCAAAAGAAAATCTGATCAAAGAATGTGATTGTTATGAGAAAAACGTTATATGAACCACCCCCACCATCTCTTTCCAAGAGGAACTTCCCCTTCCAGTTTTTTTGAAGTATAAACGAGACACTGTACATACTGTATACAGGGTGTCCCATTAATACTGCGAAAACATTCAAGGGGAGTTTCCTTGACCAAAATTAAGAAAGAAAGTCCCTATAAACCTATGTCCGAAAATGCTTCGTTTCGGAGATACAGGGTGTTGAAAATTAGAGAAAATACAAGGTTTTTACTAATATCTAAAACTAAAAAAAAATCGGAATTAGGGTTCTCCAGATATTAGTAAAAACCTTGTATTTTCTCTAATCTTCAACACCCTCTATCTCCGAAACGGAGCATTTTCGGACATAGGTTTATAGGAACTTTCTTTCTTATTTTTGGTCAAGGAAACCCCCCCTGAACTTTGTCGCAATATTAATGGGACACCCTGTATAGACGCGACTATTTTCATGCATTTGTTAGAGGAGAAACCCTTTATTTCGAAGTATCGCATCATAGAATGAGTAAATTGATGATATTTATACCCGACGCCCTCGCTCACGGTACAAACTTCGCGTTGCACCCGTTGCACTATTATTTATTCCTTGCCATGGGAGAGCGTCGTCTCCGCAATTCTCATTCTAATGCAGGAAGCAGTAAGAGAGACGTATATCTTCATAACGACAATAATTGTTAACAAGGACGAGCGCCAGATAGCGGCGTTGCCAATTCGTTGTTTACGCTTAGTTTTGCACCGGCCAGGCTATACTCAAGTCTGGTTGGTAAAAATTAACACGCGATATTCGGAAACTTATGCGAATGTAGTGTTACATAACCTCAATTAATGCAGAAAGTTGTCCTAACCACGGGGATGTTGCATTCTGAGTGTAAAACGTGAGATTTCGAGACATATTTTAATTAGAGAAAACTGTTTTTTTTTAGTATTAAGTGTGTAGATAGTTTCAAGACAAATAGATGCGCCCTTCTCTTCAAAAGGTGTCCCAAAAATCACACAAGAAGTAATTTTGATACAAAACACAGGTTTTTAATTGAAAATTGCAAATTTTGTATTGATTTATGAACTGTAGGGTAGAGGGTTATGTACGGAATAGCATGTGGATGCATTTGTTTCTCGACAAACTCGTGGATTCTCTTAACCCCAAATGCGACATTTTTGTCGATTAACAAAGCTATCAAAATGAAAATCTTCGCTCTGCGTGATTAGTAACTTTCAGTTCTTGAGTCAATTGAACTTTGTAAGCATAAAGAAGCAAATCTTTCATGATATTACGTTATAAAGAGCTGATCAAGGTGGCAGATTGATGTTCCTGAACTCTCAGCAACACTCTCGCGAACTGCTCCGATGTTTTGTGTTGAATGACTTGTTAATGGAAGGACAGATTGTTTAAGATCTCTAATTGATCCAGTCTCCCTGAATTTCTCGATTAATCTCTTCACAGTTGATGCAGTTAAATCACTATTCCGATCATACTTTGTACGAAAATTGCGAACTTCTAGCTGCCAAAACCTTCATTATTTTTAAAATGTTACTCAACAATGAAAACGCGACACCCGATTCCGATACAAATGCTGGTAATAGAAAGAAAAATGATTAATATTTTTGGTTAAAAAAAAAATAAAAAGTAAAAAACGAGTGTCATTTTTGCCTAAAACAATTCCCTTGAGTTCTATGATTCTTGGAAGATGTTTTTTTTTTTAAATTAATAACATCAAAAGGCATTAAATTAGCGTTCATATTCATAGACGTCACTAGCAAAACATTTTTGGGGCATCCAATTTAATTATTATGCAATAAAAAACTTTTAACTTGTAGAATACAAAATACAATTTGTTCGGTAGTTGTTTGTACCTCACGGAAAACTTGTTTTTAGGAGAAAAACACCCCTTGAACGATATAATTTAATTTTGGTCCCACGGAAAATGATTACCCCGATAACTTTTTATTTTTTAACTTTAAGAACAACGTTCTTCCCCTAAATGTGGAATGGCCCTTTGAGGGCCTCAGAAATTCGTTTTTAGCTCAACATCTGAACATCGCATACACGGCTTCTAGACATATGTTATAAATTACAAATAAATTAGTTAAGGGTGATCATCTTCAGTGGGACACCCTGTACTTGCGGAGAATGAGGTCGGTCTCTAAATTCTCGCTTGCCAAGAGCAAAAAAAAAAAGATATAGCAATCTTGTAACTCGATAGCAGCGTTTTCTTGTGGTCACGTATTATTTTTTATCGGTCGCAATGTGTAACTTTCAGCTCGTTATTAACTAAATTTTCAGCGGGTAACGTGACAAATAGGCAACGTCGCGACTTACGCGTGGATGAAAATAATAAGGACAGGGCCGGGATCGACTCACATTTTTATCTGGTGGCATCTAGCCTTGATCTAAATATCAGGTACCTGCTGTGTTGGCCGACTGCAGATTAATAATTGAAGCGAAATCGAGGCTTGCGCGGTCGTCCTCGGAATTGATAAGATTTGTATCGATAATAATGGGTGGCTGGTGCTCTGCCACGAAAGCTTAAGGGTTTTTTGATGGGGTACCTAGTTCGAAAGACATATTGGTGTCAGAGATGTGGAATTTTGAGTCGAAGATCTCGAGGCATCTGTAATTTACTTCGGTATCAACGGGTTATTTCTATTGAAAACATTTTACATTAAAAACGTTGCTCATGTTCGATTTATAAATAATGAAGTATCCTTATTTGTGAAATAAACTACCAAGCATAGAAAATATAGTACTAACGTAGAATGAAATGTCCCTAATATTGTCACTAAACCGCGAAACAGCGCCACGTAACGTTTTGGAAGCTTACTACTACTTAACTCCTAATGAGTAGGCAACACTTTATACTTTGTGAACTGATTACAGCGCCATCTATCGTACGGAAACGACTTCTCACTTATATCCTCTATATTATATTATTTTAAAAGTAAACCCTTATACAAATAGGAATAGTCAAGTGTCAATACTTTTGAGAACAGATTATTTAGTTAAACAGAAAATGTAGTGAAAAACTAATATTCAGTACTTTTCTAATTCACTTCTGCTTTGATAACGAAACTAGAGGTTTCATAAATGTCAGTGTTATTGTGATGTGTATTTGTTTTTCCAGTGCGTAACCAGACTTATACATGTAGATGTATGTCTCTGGCATCTCACTATTAGGCAAAAGTTTTCAGTATTGACACTTGACTGTCCCTATCGGTACAAGGGTTTATTTTTCCAGTTTTTTTTTCTTCAAACTATGGCAAAATATCCAAATTATAACATTTATAATGCCACAAATAAATACAGACAATTTCTTATTTATTATTTTATTATATTATAGTATTTTTCAAATTTTGACATTTGCCAAGATATACTTAGTAAATGGTTTCGATAAGGAAATAAAACATTTTTTAATAATTTTAAGTTTATTTTGTATCTACAAGAAATCCTAATTGATTTATACAGAATGTTGTTATGCATGTACTATTAAAACAATTTCTTGTTATGTATTTAATTGTAGGTAAAAACGACAACGATTTAATTCATTTGCTTCATAAACTTGATAAGTTGGTAAGTAAGCTGTAAAAATATAAAAATTATGCATGAACTGTTATAATAATCTCACGGAGATAGGTATACACCTAACCGAATATTTGTACAATATTGGGTTAAATTCAATAGTTCATATAGTTTGGAACTTTCAAACCTTAATATTAACAGTATATTTTCTATGTCTCAAACTGAATAAAGAAACCAATTCACCACCATTAAAAATTTTGTAAGCATCTAAGTATCAAAGGTTTTATAAAATATTAGTTGGAGTTTATCATCATACACATAATTATTTTTATCTATATTTAACTTAAATAATATGTAATTTCAAACATGCACATTTTATGTGGACTGTTTCTAATCGATTAATACAAGTAACATGAGTATGAGTGTTCCACATAATGTTGGTAAAGATATAGGTTTGGTTTTTAATAAAACTATATAACTTAAAACTTACACATCGTATTCCCAGTATAATATAATAACAAATAGAAAACTCTTAAGCACTAAATAATTATAAACACAATTCTTGCAATACTATAATTTACAATTTTCAGAGGATAACCTAAGAAACCAAAGATAACGAAAGCCAAACTTCAAATACGTGCAAAGTCCAAACTGCATTACCAACCAACCCAAAATGACAGGGTTAGCATTCTCTGCGCCATCTTTTATTTTGGAAGCTAATTAACATGTGATGCCGCCATGACAGTTTCATTATTCATATGTTAGATTTCATTCTACGTTAGTACTATATTTTCTATGCTACCAAGTATGACTAATATGGTAATGATAAACTAAAGAAAGAAATTTTGAAGGGGAGAAAAAAAAACAGTTTCAATTCAAATTGCCTGCACACTATGACTGATGTTGTCTGCCATGTCTCTTTCAATGTGTCTCTTGTTGCAGTAATAGTCGAGAAATGAGGAACAAGGCAGAGAAGCAGAGGAGGGACAGACTTAACGCATTTATAGGCGAATTGGCAACGCTGGTGCCCATGGTAGCTCGAAGTGCAAAAAGAATGGATAAGACTAGCATCCTTAGACTGACAGCCACGCACTTGAGAATATATCAAAGTAAGCATTCGTGGGGTTTTCGTTTTTCACAGATGAATAAACAAATCGACATTCGTAAGAAGAATTTCCTACAAACATCCCTCAAAGAGGCTTACCTTTACCGAAAATTTAATTAAATATCAAGAAATAACGTTAGAGCTTTGCTAAATGCAATATTTAACAGAAAACCTTCATTAAATGACTATATTTACTAGACTTAAGTAAAATTTTTGCACAGAAGGTACCTGCCCTATTACTGAGATTTCCTGTCTTTGTCACTCATATTGTGGACTCTCTTCTTGATCTGCACATATCGTGAACAAGATTAGTTCGATCAAGTTACCTATCAGTGTATTTGTTGTGCATCAACAATAGAATGAATTTATTATTTTGCTAAAAACAGTTTTTTGATAAAGCTAATAAAATTGGAAGATGAATGTCAAAGATGTTTTGCTAGAATCATTTAATTAAATTATAAGAGATAGAAAACTCTTGAATCATTGTATTCTTTGAGGTTTTGAAGTAATTTGAAGAGGCTACATTTTAGAAACTGAAACTTTTCCAATTTTAACAAATTTTTAAATCTGTAATAACATAACTTTTTGTTAGGCATGAAATTCAGTATCCTGAAAATCGAAATTAATATTTTGTCCATTCAGTTTTACCCATTTAATCCTCATTTCTTATACTTTCCTTTGTTGATATCAATTTTTATTTGAATTTTTTATTTCTTCACATATAACTATAATATATCTTCCTGCTTAATAATGACATGTTTTTTTAGCACTGGTAAATGGTAAAGGAATACCGCATATGCAGTTACCGAAACACGTTGATCAGTATGTTCTGGAACAGTTGGTTTGCGAGCAATTAGGGGGATTTCTGTTAATACTTACGCCAACCGGAAAAGTAGTTTTTATTTCACACACTATAGAAAATTTATTAGGACATTTACAGGTAAGACACTTCAACACTTGATACTGATATTGCATAGTAAAAATATTTAATATTTTTGGTCACAATATCACACTTATATTTTTTTAATAATTAACCTTTCATTTTGGAACAGTCATATATATAGGAACATTATTTTATATTTACCAGTTGCTAAATTTAGAATGTTTACATCACGCACCGTTTGTTTTGCTTCAGTTTAAAAATGTGATAAACCGGATAGTTAGTGTAACAAATTATCCTTAAAATAAATTACAAACTTCATAGCCTAGTAACAACATTTAAAGTTAATAAAAAAACATTTGAATTGCATATTTTAAGGTATTAAGGAATAAGTATAAAATTATAAACACGTAAAGTATTCTTTGTCTTGTAATTAATTAACAATAGGCAACTTGCACGAAAAGTTATTCTCTTTTAGAATTGCATAAATTTATAGACTATAACTGACAACAACAACAAACAAATTTGTTGGCAGCCCTGTCCCTATCATTTATCTTCTAGATTCTGGATCGCACTAAATGACGTCATGATATAGCGCGCCAAATTTTAAAAAATATCTGCAAGTTGCCCATCTTTATTAATCTCCCCTTCGAGCTTTAACCGGAAATAATTCAAAAGTCAATTTGAAATGGTAGAACCAGTATGGGGGAATTTGGAATAAATATACATTTGAACATTGACCTTTCAGACGGATCTCATGGGTCAATCTCTTTTCAACATAACAGCGCCTGATGATCACGAGAGGCTACGTATGTATCTTCAGTGTGAGGGCGTCGTCGAGCAGGAATGGAGGAAATACTTTAATATTAGGCTGAAGAGGGCGGGTCCTCGTTCAGAGTCAGCCGTGTACGAACCAGTGAGAATGATGGGGATGCACAGACGGTTGTCTGGCGATAACAACCAGAATTCGCAGTCGTCGAGTAGTTCCACATCGAATGCATCAAATACTTTTAATTCTGAGGTAAGCGGATGGTATTGGAATGTGATTAATGGTGACTTTAAAATGACACGTCTTATACTTCAATAATTATTTTATAAGGTACTAAACATGAGTGACGTTTTTTAAGGTATTGGTATTTTTCGTCAAAATATGCCGTCCTGAGCCCTTGGTAACTAGGCTGATAGAAGCATCAAAGGACGAGTACGTAACGAGGCACCTTATCGACGGACGCATTATTAACTGCGACCAACGGATATCCATAATCGCTGGATACATGATAGAGGAGGTCTCCGGACATTCCGCTTTTAAATACATGCATCGAGACGACGTTCGCTGGGTGATGATAGCTTTAAGACAGAGTAAGTTGTCGTGTCTCCTGGGCTTTCTGTTTCAGAAAGACTGATTTTCGTTTTCAGTGTACGACAGGGGGGAGAGTAGAGGAACGTCTTGTTACCGTCTGCAGTCGAGAAATGGACAATTCATATACTTGAGGACGTTCGGTTTCTTGGAGATAGACGATCAAGGGACCGTCGAGAGTTTCGTCTGCGTAAACACGCTGGTAGAAGACAAGGAGGGTCTGCACCTAATCGACGAGATGAAGAAGAGGTACTCGGCGCTGATCAGTGCCACTTTACCTTTCGGAAACCAAGGAGCGGTAAGTTTTTTCGGCCAATTTGAATTTTTGTATTGTTTGAAGTTACTTATTTCTGGCATGAATTTTTTTTTAAATTAAAGAAATTTTATAACCGTGTTAATATTTCCGTATTAGTCGAGCCTGACGCCGCCCAGAAGCAACGACTCCATAGACCTGGTGGAGGACCCCCAGCAGGTGGAACAGGCGGTGGCGCACCTGATGTGCAACCTGCCCTCGCCAGGCTCCGACCATCGCTCAACCCCAAGCCCGTTGGTCCATTACGAGAATCAAGACTGCACAAGTTTAACAAACATCGTGACTGAACACTCAAACAAACCATACCAAGTTAGAATTAAGACTGTAGCAAAACGACCGCCCAGTACTGATATTCAAGTCGATGCCAATTTAAATAACAAGCGGCAAAAAACTACGCCCCAAGTGTCCCCCGTACACAGAACAATATCGCCTTACCCCAAGAGGCCTCCCGTCCTTACGGACGGCAAAGTAAGTAAGTTATTAGCAGTTATTTATTTATAAAAAAAAATTCAAATTGATTTAAATGATTTTAATACCCTAGCAACTATGCAATGAACAAAGTACACTTGAATGCGATAGGATAATTTTTTTTATTTAAATTAAAACTATAATTAGTTTTAATTTAAAAAAAATTGACAAAATTGCTGTGTACAAACATAAAAGTGTTTTGTTTACGTTTACGTGAATATTACATGCATTGTTGCCAAAGCTGCTCCAAAATCAGTAATTTCACATATTTAAAATATCTCTTTCAGTGATTATCCCTTTAATGATTCGTATTTACAAGTGTCATTCATTTTAAAATGAAATGTCAGCATTTAAAAATGTAATTGACAATTTTGAAGTTTCTGACTCAAATATCCCTAGAACTAAAGAGAAAATCAACAATTTGGCAACGTTGCTGTAGTTGTGCTCGGGCATAAGCATGTAATCGGTAGATTTCCGAGCCTACGCACTTGTTCATAATTTTTTTGGATAGCTTGCCACCTTTAGTTCAAATCCCAGATTAATTTTTTAATTTTTTCTCAATTTTTACAATCTAATAAAAATATGTAGTTAAAAACAATAATTAAACAAATTTTAATGCAGTTGCACAAAATAATTTTTTTTAATTTGCTCTATTTGTGCCGCAAATAGTTAAAGTTTGTCTATATCTAAAAAGACTGCTCTTTTCAAAAGGAAAATTAATGATTTTGAAGTTTTTATCGAAATATCCCTAGAACTGGGGAAAAAAATTCACAAGCTGGCAACATGGTGTAGTTGGGCTCGGGAATATATATACAGGGTGTTTGGTAAGTCGATGCATTCCTTGTAGGAGGTTGTAGGACTAGTGATTTGTGATATATTCCGAAAACGCTTAGTTTCTGATCTACAGGGTGATAAAATTTTAATAAAAAATGCAAATTTATAAATATTGGGGAAACCGCTCAGAATATTTCAGTGAAATTTTACAAGCTTTGACAATTGACAACAATACATGTTTTACGATAAAAATATTGTTTTCAGTTTCACCAGTGGCGTGCGCACAGGCACATCTTTGGATATTTTTAAAGAAATAAATGATACCCCACTGATTTTTCTTAAAATAAAAATTATTTTCCAATTCCTTGTTCAATTTGGAAGAGAAAAGGTATCTCGATTGTTTTTCTTATCACGCACCGTTTTCGAGTAAAAAAAATAAAATCGATCTATTGTATGGCATAATCCGGTTTCAATAATTTGAAAAGTAACAGAAAGTATGCACTCAGCTTTTTTTTTGCACCAATTTTATTACAAAAAGTTATTATTCCTAGTTGGCTGTGCACTCGTTTTTGTTATTGTTTGACAAAATTAATAATAGCTGTCACTTTGAGTGAATTTCTGCTATTTTTCAAATTATTGAAACCGAATTACGCCATGCAATAAATCGATTTAATTTTTTTTACTCGAAAACGGTGCGTCATAAGAAAAACAGTCGAGATACCTTTTCTCTTCCAATTTGAACAAGGAATTCAAAAATAATTTTTATTTTAAGAAAAATCAGTGCTGTATCATTTTTTTCTTTAACAACATCTAGACATGCCTGTGCGCACGCCACTGGTGAAACTAAAAACAATATTTTTATCGTAAAACGTGGATTGTTGTTAACTGTCAAAGCCTGTAAAATATTATTACAATATTTTGAGCGGTTTCCGCAATATTTATAAATTTGCATTTTTTTTATAAAAACTAACACCCTGTAGATCGGAAACTAAGCGTTTTCGGAATATGGTATGTTAAGGAATGCATCGACTTACTAAACACTCTGTATAAGGTAGATTTCCGAAGTTGCACATATTCCCTGACGATTTTTGCAAGGGATTCGTTGAAAAAGGAGTGTTAATAATACTTTGGACATTTTGCTGCTTTTTCGATAATAGGAATAAAAGTACGAAGCCTTCATAAATGATTATAAGCCACATGACCGTCAAGCATAGACAACCAACAGTACAGGATTGGGATTTTATGTAAAAAAAAAATTGTTTTTTAAATTGATTACAATGAACTGTAAACTTAATACATGCAGTATTTGGATATAAATTTTTTGGCAATAGCACATTTCCGTTGGTACTACTACGGTAGGAAGCCACCTGCTAAAATTTGCCAGGTACTTTGTTGCACGACTGTCGCCTAGAGGGCGAAAACAAAATGTTTTTAAATTGCCAGTGTTGCGAGAAACAACTACTCGTGCAACAAAGTACCTGGCAAATTTTAGCAGGTCGCTTTCTACCGTAGTAGCCATTTGAATGGCATAGTGGGAAGTAAGCACGGCAGATGGAGCCATTTGCGCTTCACGTACTAATAAAGATGTCGATGAAGTTAACGGAAATAATAAAATTGTGTGTTTATGTTGCGAGTTGGTAATGGTATTTTGTTGGTTGCAGAAGTCACAACCCGATCAGTCAATATACCCGCCAGACCAACTGCTCAGTCACAACGTATGAAAAACGAAAAGAAGTGTGTAATATTCAAAGACTGACTGACTGACTTAGGCCATACTTAAGGAATGTAGCGTTTCCCACACAGAGACTTGAATTACAATTTGAGGGAAGAGGTGTGGAAGGTGTTGATTCAGTGTTATATTTAAAGAAAATATATATACAAAAACCTGATTAATTTAAGGCAAAAATTTGTTTTATTTTACGATTACATTAGATTTAAAACTTGTACAGATTTTTTAATATTCTCGTAATATATACATTACTTATACTAATTATAGTGATTCTGTGATGAAAATGATGTTTTGTGTTATGTTTAAAATATGTCTGTTTTGTATGGAATATTATTCAGTGGGCGAAAACTGGTTGCAATATTTTTATTTTCACATACGGACCTGTAAGGAACGCCGACGATAATTTCTCTTTCAGCGACTCCGTCTCGGCGGCGAAATGTGATAAAGTTTTTATAGTGATAAGGGACGAGAAGGAAGCACTCACCGTTCAGCGCTAGCGTGGTTTGTGTCATTAAATACCTCCGACTGTGACAGTCTCTCATCCGTACCCATGTAACGTTTTTCTGTACGTCAAACTTTGTACTCCGGTAGTCATTTTGATACGATTTTTGTAATTCTGTGGACTCGAATGGAAGTCGTAAGAGATATTCGTCAATTAGTGAACTCTAACGATAACGAATGGTCGCGATCTCCGCACTTTCATTTAAAGTCCAGTAAAGTGGTGCAAAGTATGTTTTTTCTAGACAAGAGTATGTTGAATCCAGCTAGTTCTCTAGAAAGTAAAATTCTACTTGATCTCCGTCCATAGGTAGTCACTTTTTCAAAACGTTCGCATCGTTTTGGCGCGGTTAAATTTTTTATTTTGAAATTAGGATTTTCTTGTAAGTATTCTAATATTTTTGTATTTACTCGATAAATATTTTGTGATCTATTTCTAGGACAAGATTTAAGGAAAACTTCAAACACAAATTATACAGGGTGTAACCTTGATGGGGGTCATATTTAACGGCGGCTACTTTTGACCGTTAACAAAATTCCGTGGTGAAAAATAATTTTTGTTCACTTTTTTCATATCGCAAAAAATTTAACACTGAGGACACACAAACACGTCGTACTTCACGTAAAATGTCGCGAAAACTAAAATAATTGTAATAAAATGAAGCAGTGACATATCCGGCCATTAACGTTTGTCGTTTGTTTTTACCCACTTAGCGCCATATTGTCGTATCACATCAGGTGTATTGATAATAAATACCTAGACTATAAATTAAACGCAAAAAAATAGTAATAAACGGTTCGTAAAATGTATTAATACTTGATTTATTCAATTGAAAGAGATTATTTCAGATCCTCATTAAGTTAAATTCTGTATATAGCAAAAAGGCGTACCTAAAATGAAAAAAATTGGTCGCAAGTCTGAAATTTATAATGATAAGACGAAAATAAGATGTCGGAGTTCAATTATGCCTTTTCTTCAACTTTATATCGTATTTTTTTTCTCTCGCTACCTCTTAAAATGAAAATAAATATTCTAAAAACGGTAGACAATATTAAAGTGAACAATTTGAGTACCAAATTTTATTTTATTAAAATCATATCAAATTTTAAAATTCAGGGTTATGACACTGTCGTACATTTAATTAATTAAAATAAAAATCAACGGTGTCCTAATATTTTTGATAAAATTATACATAAGCAGTTCTATCAAAAGTTTTACAATTTTGTTTTGTGAATGCACCGACTGTTTATCAAAGAGTGACCGCAAAATCCGCCTGTTTTTGAGGCTTTGGCAGGGACGACGGGAAAAATCCTAAAAATATTCTAAAAACATCCAAAAACTCTTCATGAAAAATGAAAATGAGCTTCACTTTCAGTTTTTTGAAAATTTTCGAAAATCACCCTTATTTAGGGGTTGAAAAGACAAAAAAGTGAACAAATTACGAATCATCAACAGTTGTAAAACCTCAAATATTTCTGTTGTTATCAAAATAATATTTTGAGCGTGAAAATATTTAATTTCATATTTGATACGGTCTTGTCCGGATTGAAAATCAACCCTTAATGTTCTTAAAGGGGTGAATTCATCCTCTAAACGCCTAAAAATGCAAAAAATATGTTAAAGTTAAAATTTTTTTTCTTTTTCTTTTATACGTGATGATTGAACCGTTAATAACCTACAATCACTAGATCCTTAGGAAAATACCCCTAAATGAGAGTAAAACCACCTCTAAGTTCAATCATATACATATAAAAAAGAAAAAAATTGTAACAATATATTTTTTGCGTTTTTAGGCGTTTAGGGGATGATTTCATATATTAAGCGTTAATTTTCAATCCGGACAAGATCGTATCAAATACGAAATTGGATATTTTCACGTTCATAATATTATTTTGATAACAACATAGAAATATTTGGGGTTTTACAACTGTTGATGTTTCTTAATTTGTTTACTTACTTTTTTTGTCTTTTCAACCTCTAAATAAGGGTGATTTTCGAAAAACTGAAAGAGATGCTCATTTTCATTTTTCGTGATGAGTATTTGGATATTTTTAGGATTTTCCCTGTTGTCTCTGTCAGTCTCAAAAACAGGCGAAAAAATGGCTTTTTTTACGGTCACTTTGTGGGACCGATTCCAAAATATCTTCTATGTAGAATAAAAAAGAAAACAATTTATGACTTAATTTCATTTTTCCTTTGATCTCACAATTTTGTAGACAAAAGTGGTATATTAAAACCAACCCCCGACTGATTCTTGTAGCGTAGATTAATTTTTATTGGTTGAAATCATTACTGAATTTGACATACTCTTTTCTACGACACGTTTTATCCAATGTATTTTAGAATTTGAGAAAAATGTTTATTGGCAAATGAATTTTCAAGAAATTCTGCCCGTCTTACAATGTACATTCTACCCAGCGAAATGACGATTTTTTTCATCGCTTTTCTTCCGATTATCAAAAAATTACATGCAATTAAGTTGTGAAAGAAAAAACGTTAGACCAGGCAAAATTTTTTGAAAATTTACGTCGGTCAATTGAGAACAATCAGTGACGAGCGACTATGGATTTGTTGTAGCGAGATATGGAAGTTTTTAAGCTTTTTTGGCCACGGAAGACAATAAGATTTCAAACGATTTGTAAAATCCTTACCAGTTCATTTTTTCGTACATCGTGTATGTGAAAATTAAAAAAATATTGTTTTTACTGCTATACATTTTATCGTTGTGCACTGTACAATGAATGTTCATTTAATTATTTACATTCATGTATTAATTTGGTAGAACAATGTATCCAAATTTAAAAAAAAGGAAAAAACTAAATCAGAACATGTTAAATAGGTACTGTTCTTCTTATATTAAATGAAACTGCCAATATTTTGTAATTTAGTTATTTTGTATCAGGAAAATCAAAAAAATACATAAAAAAAGGTCATTGTGTGAGAAGTACAGTATTTATTAAATGCTGATTTGCCACCATTTATTTATATATTAATTTCAAATAAAAAAATAGCCAGTTTTTCCTGTATTTTATTATCTACGTTAAATACATTTAAAATTAAAATCGAGCACAATTCCTCCCACTCGAAACTATGCTTGAAGCGCTGGTCGCTCCTGCTTCGCATTTAATTTCACATTTGTTAAAGCATAACCGGTGCCGCCCTACAAAAACAACAAAATACATATTGGTATGGGCGAATCTTCAATAAAAAAAAAGTAATTCACAAAACCGAACCTAAACTGATTAAAAATCGTTTAAAAATTTATCACGTACCCTTTGCATCACAATAATATCCTTTGCTGTCAATTTCTTGCTCGTTAGCGGATGAATCCAATCCTTTTTTATAATCTTTTCGACACATTCCATCGTTACCACATCGCCTCTGTAACAGATTCCCGAGAAGTAACTCTAAAGAAAATTCTAAGATTGCAAATTACTTACGTGGGTCTTAACACGGCACACGGTACTGAATTACTTAAAATGTCGTGTGTAACGGCGCACATGTACCTATTTTCCCTAACATGTATGGATTTTTTGTCGTCAGGATCATTAACTGGCGTAAATTTAACGTCTATAAGGTCTTTGACTTTCAGCGGTCTTTGGGAAATGGGGCAATAGATGGTAGCATCCTAAAACGTTAATTAATCGGTTATCCTAATAAAATGAATAACTATATAAACATACAGGTTTTTGTAGTTTAGATTTTTTGGAACTTGGAGTCATTGACGGTATCCAAAAACTTGGCAGTTCTTTATCCCTTCCCTCTGCCATATTTGATATCGAGGAAGTTCCAGGTTCATCTAAGAGTTTAGATTTTAAGTAACGAAAATTCTAAATTGAACTGAAAAATCACTAACCTGGTTTAAAACCGCCAATAGGTTTACTAACAATATTGTTTTCTTCCTTTAAAAATGAGGTAACTTTCTTTTCGACTTCACTAGCAACTTTGACTGCGTTTTCCTCGTCTTCCTTTTTCTTCAACTTTTCGTACTCTTTCAATTTACGGCTGTATTCGTTCTTCTTTGATATTATATATTCCAATATAATTTCTTTGTCGAAAAGATATCCGTCTTTTCTAAAAGAGTAATGTTGTTAATGAAGTTACGATTATTTATGATTACAAACATACGTTATAACTGGATTTCTGCAGGGCTGAAGAGAAAGTGAACAACAATCAAAGTCTTTCACAGAATCTTTTCCCAGCCTCTGGGAATTTGTCCCGTAACCTGATGCTTGTGCGTCCTTCTTTTTTTCGTGATACGTATAAACGGCCCCGGCTGTACAATTTCTTGCATGTCTCGTCATTGTTGTTGAATAAAATACAGTATTTTATTGCAAACTAACAAATCCAAATCACAACAAATTAGACGTCAGACACAACTGTCAAAATACTTCGTCTTCTTCTGTACTTGTCTAAGATCCCACAAAACCGCCTTTCGAAGGGCACTTCCACACTAATTTTTAGACAAACGTGCTATTTGAAATACGTCACAGTCACTTTTTTAATCAGTGAAGTAGAACGTTCAAATATGTCGATTTGCATTTTACAAATCAAAGTACACTGGCCTAAATAAATGATACTATAGATAGGAAACTTTAACAGATTTCGTGGTCATTAACAGCGCTAACTGTTGACACTTTCTCCAACTTCTATTGCTTTCCTTTTCTAGGAGTTATCGGTAATACAGTGAGTTAAATTACCTGTAGCTGGTAAAAGATGCAGGCGCCATCTAGTTGTACGCTCTACAACTATATACCTACCTACTCAATATTTGTTTTAGGTATTCTGACGCTGCTAATTTAAAATTACATAACAAATCTCACCCTACACAGATCACTCAGAAATTGATTTTGTAAAATAATTTTCACGTAGATAATTTTTTTTGTCACCATGAGAAAATAAGTGCTTTTGATAAAAAGCATTAAAGACACTTTTAAATGCTCTAATAGTCTTCCTACTTAAAATAATAAATAATTTTGATACTGTAACTTTTTAAAATGTTTGTTGAAAAAATTTCAAATTTCAGTTCATATTTTGAAAAAAAAAAGTGGAAATGATTATAAATTTTCAGTGCTTTTATATATTGTATTAGCTTTCACGGTGAATAAAAAAATATTGCAAGTAAATAATTTTACTAAACCAATCTTTGATTAATTCTTGTAATAGAGATTTATTATGCAACTTTAAATTATTCGTTGTGTTGATATCCATAAAAAAACTACCTACCTCTGATCACTTTTATTAAAAAAAAACAAAAAAACAAAACATTTTATTATTAATAAAAAATGTGATTATATGATGATCAGACATTATTATGTTATATAAATAAATGAGAATGAAATATCTACTATTTAATAAAACACACTAAAAACACAAATAAAACACACACCAACACTCGCCAAACCTAACAAACAATAAACATGAACAACATGAATGACATGAAATGATTCATAATTGCAATCATAGACAAAGACGGATTGCAATTGTCAAAATTTAATTTATTCTACAAAATCTTTGTGCCGACATCTATAGACTCTTTCCCCAACTTGTATATCCATCTCAAGTCACGTGGTTCCCAATTTCCCCATATTTTCAAGATAAGTTCTCGGGCCCTGTACACTGGCTGGTTTTTGTTGTTGATGTATGAATTGGTGCCTAATGTTGTTGCCCTGCCATCTATCGCTCTGAACTTGCACTAAAATACGAGAGACTTCTTTAATAGGTAGCTAACTGTAACAGCTACTCATTCTGTGGTGTTAATTGAGCACTTTATGCATAGATGGCGCTGCATGCATTATTAAAAATAACCTTAAAAAGTCAACGGTGACGTTTTCAAAGACAGTGACGAATACAAAATATATTCTGTATTGTTCAAATAAAAGGCAACATCTGAAATGAATCAACTTTATTTTGTCATATATCTCTATAGTGGGGATTGTCCCGGTGTTGCGTAATTTATAATACAGAAAATAAAAATATAAATAATAGTTATAAATAAAAATATATTAAATATGTAACTAATAACATACTTCAACAATATTAACAGGTAAGTAATAAAACATGACTATGAAGTAATTGGCACCTTGAGAAGATCCTTAAGTAAATGAATTTTGTCACTAAGTTTGCGCCGAACCGTACGTTCCCGCAGGTGGCCTATAAAGCTTTGGAAATGCCAGGAGCTGCATAGAGTTGAAGGCGTATTTGCGAACACCTATATTCTTTAAAGTATTTTCCCTTCGACACCCCTCACTAAAAAATTAATTACAAAAACATGATTTTAATAAACGTCCGACACAGGTGTAACTAAAAATACCTCCTCATGCAGTCCAATGCCCTCTGAAATTCATGTTCGGCCAAATGATATTCGTCCGCTAATATCTGGCATTCTTCGAGCGTTACCGACATACCAGTCCTATCCTTGGCGCTTTTACAACTCGTAAACCTAATACCTTAAAAAAGCAATAGCGAAATAAAACGATAACCCAGCTTACCCCACTACCTACCTTTAATCTGCCTGCAAATTTGCGCGGCGACATGCAAAATCTCAACGTTCTTGGGTTTCGTGCTATGCACGCACATCCTAAGCTCCTCTATCAAGTCGTTCAAGGACTTAAGCTGCGGCGAACACGCCGAAGTCCTACCGTTTCCCGTATTCGATTCCGGTATGTTCAGTTTCTTGTACCTCAGGAAATACTCGTTTAGCCTTTCGAAATTATCAACGTTCGACCTCTCCTGAGGCCTGGTCGCCCCGATGCTCTCCGCTATGGTAGCCATCTCATTTATGCCTATATTGAAGAACACTGGCGTCACGTGAAACGACAAAGCTTGTCTGGTGGGTACTAAACTATACAAAGCGTCTGGCACTGGAATAGATACTGTCAGAGAGTTTCTGCTTCCGCTAACTTTAGGAGTCGGGTGGGGCTCCGTTGCAGGACTAGGGCTACGAACTAAGGTGAATAATACCGTCCTCAAGTCTTCTATGGCCACCGACATGTCACCCCACATGTCGATTTCGTTACCGTAATAGCTCAGGAGCCCTTCGAAGCACGCCAGAGGGCCCAGGGTGCTCAGGACCGTCACGAACGCCGGGTCGGGCTTGTGACACCAAAATTTGGTCATCAGCCCCGTCACCAGTGACGTCAACTAAAAAACAGATACTTTGTGCGGGAAAATCTGTTACCGATTTAGAATTTCAACTTTTTGCACGTCAAATTCGGTCGCGTATTACAAATGAGCAGAAGCAACAAAAAAAAAAAACGCAATACTTTTCCAGAATTAACTTTTTTTCTTTTTGCAGATTACTATTTTCTTAAAGCACTGTGTTTAGTTCGTAAATCTGAGCTAGATTTTTGTAAAAAAATTAACTACACGTTTTAGTCCTGTCTCGTTGCGTTTGATTTACTAAAAGTTGACTTTGGTTTGGAAATTATTGAATTTGATTTGCAAAAAGTAAAATTTGGAGTGGAATAAGTATTACATCAAATTTTAACGACTTACAGCTTGAGAGAAACACACATCTCTGCGATACCTAACGTTGCACACTCTCTGAGCAGCCTTAGGGTCTTCCTGAACCCGAAACACTGAATGCGTTAGCCTAGCGGTCTTTAAAAGCCCATCCATCGCTTGCCTTAATTTTCTCATACTGGGCCTTAGCTCGGCGGCCCAGTCGTTGATTTTGTTCAAGTCTAAGCCGTCGGTAAATTTGTTACCTGAAAAATTTCGTCACAGGCGAATAGGCAACCAGCAATACATTTTTATAGATTTTATTACACAGTTTGCTTATATATGAATCAATGCACAAATAACAGACTTTCCCCCATTCTAACGCATATTTTCTATAAAATGGAGTTTGTTTGATACTCAAATTACTTTTTGTCGTCAAGAAATTTGTAATTTACGATGTCGCTTGTTCAAAATTACAAATTTCTTTACAACAAAAAGCTATTTGAGTTTTAAAACAACTCCATTTTATAGAAAATCTGCGTTAGAACGGAGGAAAGTCTGTTATTTGAGCATTAATTCATATTTAGGCAAACTGTGGAATAAAATCTATAAAAAAGTATTGCTGGTTGCCTATTTCTTAAATAAGACTTTTTGTTATATTTGACAAGGCAACATCTTTAAAATTATGTCACACCCAAAACTGAAACGTAACAAAAACGAGAATTTTTCTTTTCTCAAATGTTGAAAAATTTAAGTACTCGACGAGAACCAAGGACTGACCAAAAAACATACAGTGGGTTGCACGTATTGTGAAACGAATGAACTATTTTCCAATTAGAAATCGTACAGAAGCGAATTAAATGGTATGTTTTATGCGCAGTATCAATCGCAACCATTTAACCAGTGAATCTAACCTCACTAGCGTTTAATATAAATTATTTACCGTCGAGTGAATGTTTAACAGCGTCTCAATTACTTCATTAATTAAAATAAAAAAAAACAGAATATATACTTACCATTCCGCACGACTTTATTCACGGCCTTGGAAACGGCCTCCGCCTCCTTATTTATAAGACTCCCGCCGCCGGGCTGATCGGTGATCACGGTCCTCCTGAACCCCCTAGGGTTCTGCTTCAGCCGCACCGCGGGGCTGCCGCACCGTCCGCACAGGAACTTCACCTTACTGACCAGGCACATCACGCTGGCCTCAATGTTAAGCTGAGTGATGTCCCACGGTTCCGGTTCGTCGGTCGGTTTGTAGTAATTCGCCGAAGGCGAGTTACACATCACGTTGGTGTCCAAGAACATGCGACCGGTGTCGGGATCCAGAGAACGGGGTTCCGAACCGTTCGAGCTGTTACTGAGACTGTTAGGGGCCGATCCTTCCGCTGAATTCTGCGAGATTACGGAATTGTTTATAGAAAGTGAAACGGTCGTTTAAAATATCGTTACCTCGTTCAGGCTGTCTTCGCAATCCGGAAACAAAATGAAGTTAGTTTCATCCGGAGACTGCATGTTGGAACAGAGGCTCTTAACCCCCTCGCTAGTGTTTAACAAGCTGTTCCTTTCGCCAGTCGCGATTCGCCCGTTGCTCCCGTCCGACACGGTCCATATGTCTTCCACGTTCATGGGGGTACACGGAGTGGCGAAATCGTCTAGGTCGGGACTCTTCAGGTCGAGTGATGTGAGTTGCTGGGTGATGCGTTTGAACGGCGACAGCACCATACTGGGTCTACCCCCGCTTTCTAAACTAAAGTCCTCGCTGACCCCCGAATCATCGTTCGTGACTAGCTTGTACTCTTCGATGAAATTTAGAGCCTCCTCGACCAAGCCGGGGTCCCACAGGCTCAGGAGGATGCGGGTCTTGCTGATCATGTCCTCGCAGATCGGCAACATGCCGTTCGTCTGTTTCTCTTTGGCTAGTCGCATGAGGGTCTTCATGGCTTCCACCACCTCCTTCCTCAGCTGCTTGATTGCCTAAAAACATACAAAATAATTGCCGTTTCGTTATAAAGCGCAATATACAGGGTGGTTCACTTGAATCCGGCAAAAAGAAAGCGAATGTGTGTCCCAGATTCACAAACTAAATGCAGTGCTTTAAAAATATAGTCACAAATAGTTTTTAATGAAATCTCGAAATGATTTTAAAAATTAATTCTTTATATTATATAAAACAGCAAAAATAATTATGTTAAAAGACAAATTAGCAACATATTATGTAATTATTATGTCACGATATTCATAAGGAGTAAGAGTTGCCACTGTTACATTTTTGCATCACTAAACTCTAACAGCAATCAAGTGAACTAAAGTAACTGCAATCAAATGAAAGTGTTACACTTGAGGCATGATTCTTTCCCGTAACATTAGAAATTAGGATAAATAAAATAATTTGACGACCTTGGTTGGACTAACCTAGCTCTAAAATATTGCTGCATTCCAATAAATCACCCTGTGTTTGTTTATATTTTGACAGCCAATCAACTTAAGATGGCGACTATTCTTATGAGAGTCACCACTACGAGAGGCGCCATCTAGTATTCACCTTTTTAAGTTTAACTGGTAACTTACCTGTATCGCGTCATTTGCCATGGAAATTTTAGTGGTAATTTGATAATTGGCGTTTGATTTAATGGGAGACTCCTTCAGCTGCTGAACTAGCCTAAAAAAACAAATATTTTTTGGTACGATACAAAAAAAATTTTCGATCCGTATCCTTACTTTATTAACCCGCCGTTCTTCGACTTATGAGAATGGGCGGTGAACGCCCCGACTGTGATCCAATCGTAGAATCCCGTCTTATTCAACGTATCGTTGTGAACCCACATTCGTTGTAAATGTAAATTAATCGGCGCAAATTCTAGACTACGGTCAGACTTTCTGGAACTGGCCTTGAACAGACTGCCCTTGTGCGCCTGCAAGTTCTCCCTGGCTTGGGAATAGAGGCGAAGGAGGTGCAGGTGCCTATCTAACAGCTCTACCTGTCTAGAGTGCCACGGTTCTCGAAGTTCGCCCATCCCCGCCACCTCTTGGAGCAGTTCCTTTTCCTGTTGGATCCACACGTCCCTGCAAGTTTACAAAGAATCACGTTTTCCGTCCACGCTGAAGTATTCTGTGTACTTACAAAACCTGTCGCGGAAACGAGAAACATAAACGACTCTCAGCCATGTACTCGTGGACGCAGATGTCACCTCCGAGACCGGAGTGAAATCTATAAGTCTGTAAAAAGGGGGAAGAAAACAAAAGTTTCAGTTCCGACTGACTAGGAAGCCGCATTTTTACTCCTAATCTAGGTGGAAGGGACTGGGACCGCCTGTGTGACCACACCTGCAAGAATTAAAGTTCATGGCTATTTCAACGAACAAAAGAAGGTTAATAAAATGGATTACAAAAAAGTTTTACTGAAAGTATTCTACCTCGTCTCGGTTGATTTTCTTTCTTCTTGTAAAGCTTTTCATTTTAACGAATGAACAAAATGGGCGTTCTTAGTTAGTCGACGTTACATGTTATTAACCACAAACCACGTTAAACGTAAACAGTACTACTGAATCATCTATTTCCTTTGTTTCATTTGGAAACGAGTTATACTATTTTGTTTTTAAAATAAATTAACAGATTAGTACTTCCTTCATGATAACACGGGCAGGCTTCTATTAGAAAAATTACAATTTGTCCACCAAAATTCAATTAAAGGGGAAACCCCATAAGAAGTTTCAAAAAATCGGGGCTTTTTATTACATAAATTATTTGTATCACTGTTACAGAAAAATTTCGAAACAAAATTCCTATTCCTGTCTAGTCACTTATTAAGCAAGAAAAAAACAGTTGCAAACTCAGAATGATGCCTATGAGGAAGAGGAACTATTATGTGGTGCTTTAATCGCTGATTGATCGGAAACCACTCTAAATTATTGATAACTTTCTCAAATGTCTAGTTTAGCGGAAATTTTCAAACGCGTTTTTCTCGAAATGACACTTTTTTGCTTCATGGGAACTCTAGCTATGAACCGATCGTTACGAAAATTGAAAGCGTTTTCCTTTAAGAAATTACAAAGAACACGAACCAACAATTGGAATGATCAGTGGCGGCTCGTCAGGTGACGCAAGTGACGCACCGCTTCACCTAAAATTTCCGTTTAATTGCGCAATTTAAAATTATTTTTAATTTTATATAAATATTATAATTTAGGTATAATTCTATATTGGAAATGTATTGTTTGTTTGTTTAATACGCAGAAATAAACAGAATAGTTGTGTGGTGAACACCTTCTAAAAAAACATTGCCACAGTATATACGTGTCGTGCAGTGCACGATTATAACGGTTCTTAGTTAATATTTGTTTTGTATAGTAATTGTAGAAATGTTTCCTATGTATGATCCAGTATGTATTTTATTGGACACGCCATTTTCCAGATGGAAAATTGAGGATAAAAAGGATTTTTTAAATTGCGATAGACCTGTGCCTTCTCTCGATGTGGAAAAAAGGGGGAGGTCAAAGAAAGTCAAACTAATATTTCTATTTTTTATAAAATCTAAATGAAAATCTTTCTCATGAACGTCAGTTCTTCGGTAATACTGCAAATGCAACTAAAAATTTCGAATTTATTTAAAGCCGTTTGACTTTGAAAATTTTCGCATGTGGCGCTTTTATTTTTCTTTTTAGTCAATCAATGAATATGCTTCACTTATTCTCAATGCCCCGAGCCGCCACTGGGAATGATATGATATTTTTAGTGATGTTTTTTATTCAAAATAAGTGAAAAAAAATAGTGAAAATTGATAAAATTTTCTCAAACACGTGTCAAAACTTGAATGAGTCATATTCACAATGAGTTTCATATTCTTAGAAACAATGAGTTTCATATTCTTAGAAAACATGTCAATACCTGCATACAAACGCAAAGACTTATTGGAGCGATAAATTGTACAAAATAATCGTCATATAAATCGTTAAGAAAAATCTTTCAGACAAATCTTAGAAGGGACAATAATGCGAAGTTTTATTGAACCGAATTATGGTACAAAGTTTATCCGACCGTTTATTCGTTACGTCTGTCATTCACAAAGATTTATCTTTAAATTTGGTAAGATTATTCTGTCATCATAAGTCCAAAAAATCAGAGAAACTTTTTTGTTACTCGTAAATGTAATTTGCTGGAGTGTTCTACAAAAACATGAACAAAAACGACTTTAAACGCGTTTTATTATTTGGAATGATGGGTTACGTGCTTATAAAACGATGCAGAAGAAATAAAAAGCGAACAAAGTAGGTTAAAACATAGTTATTGTGGAAAGAATACAATACGCCTTTAATTCCTTATAACTCTCGTTTTTAATATTTTTATTTGTGTATTCTTGCGACACGCAGATGATGGTCTACAAAATATCACCCGATAATTCACGACAGATTTATCTGCCGTTTAATCTGCCAAAATTTTGGTATTTTACAATTTTTCTTAACGGCCCAAACTAGCAGTTTTGTCTTTACAATTTAATTTATACAATTCAACGATAAAACGGCCAAATCGGTCGATAAAACTGCTTGTGTATATTCGGCTAATAATGCAGCAAAACAATTTTTGCTTTCAGATCAAATCTGCGACCTCTACATTTCCTGTGAACAACCAACTCGGACGACGAGCTTCAGTGGACAATAGCCCATAACTTAGGCATTTTTAACACAAATGACTTAAAAAAATTTGTAAATGTACGCGTTTGTAAAATAATGTCAAAGTTTCATCGAATTCTAATCAATTTGTACCACTCAAAAAAATTGATGAGAAAAGCCTGAAAATCAGCCTCCTAAAGTGGTTTCCCCCTTGAAAATAATTTGCCAGTACCGTTTGGTAAAATAAATTTTCATAAATGAAATTATTTATAAAATGTATGTTACATAAATATCAAATATCAAATTTTTTGTATTATTATAAGGTAGTCTGACGCCATCAGTTACAGACTTATTATTCTCGGGTCCGCACCCACAGACCCTAGCCCGAGAACGACAAGGACAGGTTAAAGATTCCTGTCTAAGACTTAGCAAGTAACAAAAAGTCTGTAATTGGCGGCGACCAGGCATAACACGAAAAACCCTTGTACCTACATTAAATGTAAAACTGCAACTGTTGTCATATATTTAGTGTCTTTTTTTTTGTTTGATAAAAAACGACTTTGAGTGCAAAACGAGGAAATCAATATTTGTGTTAAACATTTCAACATTTTACAAAATCCTTAAAAAAAAAACAAATATTCGCAAGATATTCCTACCTGACTAGTGGTATGCGAAGGTACTCTACAAGGAGTGTGTTCAGTGCTGCTGCCCCTGTCCTCTGCCTCCAAAGACCAAGCGCTTATTGTGAGGAAGCCCGCCGTATTCTGCGTTCTCGACAGAAGCGGGATTCTAAGCCGAGTAGAATCCTGTATGGCACTTAAGAGCACACAGGCCGAACCTAGCGGTATGGCAGTATGGGACACCCTCTCTCGGACGTCGTAAACCGTGAACCTGACCCGTGTGTCGCCGGAAAGACCATCGGAAGCACGGAAGCTAATGGTACTTAGAAATCCTGGATTACTACATCTCTGCACAAAAAAAAATTATGAAGACCTGCGCAGTTTATCAGTCACGAGAGGAATAATTACCTCGATTATTTCAGTTCTCCCGTACTGAACCCAAAATTTATAAGAAGGCATATAAACATCTACAACCAGTGTAGGGTTAGGAGGTCTACCATGCCCGTCGCAGAGTAAATTATCACAAGCCAGGGATACTTCGCAAAGGGGCACTTCCGCTATGTCTGCAACGAACCACAAAAGGCAATTAATTATACGATAATATATTACTAGTATACAAGGCGTTGCAAAAGAGTAGCTCACGACGTTAACAACGAATTCTCCGAGCAATGTGACAGAACCTTCTTCATGACAAATTTTTTTAAGAATTCTCAAACCTTAGACATAGCGTGAACAAAAAAGATACTAAACACGAGATGTAAAACAGTGCTAAGAATGATCACTAGGCCTTCAAAATGGTTAAACTGGCAAAGAGCAACCTGCGACTTCGCAAACCAATTTTTAACTGACGATATTGCAGGAAACACACTGATGAGGGCAAATAAGTAATAAACCGGTATATGTCTGGCGGATTCGACTGACGAAAACTAAAAGAAGCTGTCGTATCTCAAAAATCAAGCCCTACATCACAATTTTATAGGAAAGAAGAAACACAATTTTTGAACAACAAGCATGCACTAAGTTGGAAGGTCAATGGCAACTATAACCTCTTTCCTCCATTCATACGTTGATTTTTTTTAATCAAAATTACACAAAAAACAAAAATGTATGTAAAATTTGAACCAAGCACCGTTTTTTGAAAAAGCAGGTCCTAAAAGAGAAACAGAATGCGGATAGATCTATTATTTACACATCAAAAATCCGTGGTTAATGTCTCGCCTTATTTTTTTGTAACACCCTCCATTTATATAACCTAACTAACCTAAAATATGGGTTTGTTGCAACCTCCAAGTGTGAAGATCTACGTTCGGCTTAGGATTGCGTCTCCTTTCTATACACTGTCGAAGTGCATTTAATTCTGCCCTAACGCCTTCGTAACTGGCTTGCCTTATAGCGTCCATCCAGCTAGATCTCTCGATATCGGAGGTTGAAGCTAAAGCTTGACATAAACCACCATCAAACACTAAAAAATTTGTTAGTTTAAAACATAACCGCAATAATCTGCATCGGATAATTTTAAACGTTCAATAAAATCGGGCCATTTTAAATTGCTACATAAGATACCTCAAAAGAACATATTGCAATATACTACTTAATTTTTTTTCTAACCTAGATAAAAGGGATAATGCCCGTCAGCAGTGAGTGGCGGAGAAGCCATAGGTGGGTCTATTCTCACTTGGCACTGCTCCAGTACAACAACACCTAGAGGTTCCGACCAAGGATCCTTGTTTTTGAAATAAAATAACAGGTTTCCTCGTAAACGACACCATCTCTCTAAACTAACTGTAAATCAAAAAATGTGTTAGGTACTCAACGTTAACACGGTCCAAAATTTCTAGCACGCAATACGCGAACTTGTTGCGTTAAATCTTACACAACTGTAAACGAATTGTCGAGTTTAAACGTATTCATCAACGAAAATGTAGACTAAGCGGTTGAAAAATATAGCAACAGGCTTTTCCCTCTGAAAAGGACATAACTTTAGTCTGGAAAAGCCAATTTCATAGCTCAGCTGGTGCAGAGCGACGACAAATGAAAAAAAAAAACAATTTTTTGAAATTCTGACTGTTCGAAACTGTTTTGGATGACGCTTAAGGATGGTATAGATATATCGCAACAAGTCCTACGACATCAATATTCATTACAAACTGTCTAATATATAGAAACCCAGTAACTAACTACCTATTGCAACTGTCACACATCACATAATAGTGCCAATGTAAATATCTTATTGTGAGAAAAATGGTGGTAAATCAATAAGTGTATTGAAATTATTAAAACAAAAAAATGTTGTCTATAAACCATTTCGTTTAGCTTAATAATGCAAATATTAATATACGATTAATTTATTTGTTGGATAGAGTAACACAATATCGAGTTAAGATGTCAAAAATATTTAGTAATTTCTTTCTGGAACTATTTACAAGAGATTAGTTGTACAGATGATGCATAACTCTTGCTTTACCACTACAACGCTTACCGAAATTGTACTACTACTTAAACGGTTAACAAAAGGTGGATATATTAAAAAAATATGACTACTATTAGAAGCAAATCTAAATCTACAGATGGGAAAAATGTCCTTGTTCAAAATTATATGATACGTTCAGCGAAAAATCAGTAGCGATAATTAATATAATGACGTCCTGAACATGTTATGTAACATCCTTTATAAATATAGTGTAAATAATTTCTGTTAAAATTTTCAAGAAACAAGGAAATGTAGAAAGGAAATAAATTAAAACAAAACATTAAAATTGTCACTACTACCACAATACAAACAGATAAAAAAAAAAGTGAATACAAAATAAGCTTTCGAAACGATTAGAAAGGCTTGAATTAAAAAAACAAATTGTGTTAAAGATTGAGTAGCGTGCATGGACGTAAGGGAAATATTATTATCATTTTTAACAGTCATTCTAAAACTACAGTCTGTTAGACAATTGAAAAAATATGCATTGCATCACCGATTACGTATAAGATTAACGGATTCTAAGATATTAACATATAATCACAGTTTATTCCTTAATCAAGTGATTATATCATTAATTCCCACAATACAATTCATGTACTATTTAATTTCATTGACATTGTATTGTTCTTCATTGCTGGCAGAGAAACAAAATTACATATATCAAAATTTACACTTCGCTACAAATGAGAACCAAATTCAATACGTAATATGATTTTGACAATCTTTTTTTTGAAATATAATTTTATTCTGCTCATACTGTCACTATTTTTTTTATTGTCAGTACAATTGTTGCTAAGGCTTTTAAATTTTTACTTTACCAGTGTATCAATTAATAACAGGGACAATGTGAGTGAAAAAATTATAGAATTAAGAGAAACGATTTTCAAAATTAACTTTAAAATTGAAGTCCTCTAACACGTTTACCGCTACGATGATAATTTCATACATTCTAATTTGCAATATTTTTCCAAATGCCTTAAAAATCGAGTATTAGTAAATTCTGCCAAAAATTCTGCTCGACACCTCCACCACATCATAGAAACCCTGAAAACTTATAAACAAAAGCCTGTTGTTAGCGAATTAGCGTGTGTGTTAGCGGTGTGTAAAGTCAGTTTATCCTGAATTCATAGAATATTTCAAATTTCTAATGATAAACGTGCAGAAAATCGACACATTCTGTATATGATGGACTTAGGATGTCATTCAATCTGTCATCATAAACACGAAGAGCAAATACTACTTAAATCTTTTATTGCGATTCATTGCAAATTCCCAAAATATTCCAAATGATCAAATAGAAGCTGCTTAAATAGTTTGTAAATAAAGATTAGATAAAAATTAAGCGGTAAATACATAACAGAAAATATTTCTGAGGCCTAGGTAAATATTACATACATAAATTCTGCAAAGGAAAGAATCCTCTCGAAAAATGTACACAAATTTAAACATAAATGCCAAAAGAATCAACAAAGGAGCTGTTATTAACTTATTCTTTGTCAAACGTAAAATATTTCACATTGAAAAACTAAATAATTGTCCGTAGTTCACTAAAAGCAACAAAACATTTTAAAAACTTTGTCAAATGTCGAAACTGATAAAATTTTGAAAAGTTAACTTGTGTTGTGTTATGGTGTTTTTGATGAAATCATGAACGGTTATCAACTATCTCAGCGTGAGAAATTTCTGGTTAGGCAAAAATAAGTTTATAAAACTTTTAGATTTTAAATAATTTAAAATGAAATAGAAGAAATACATCGAAATAAATGATTACGGAGAATATATAGTGAATTGCTATGAATGTAAATAAGATTTCGTGATCTCTTATCAATTTAAATTCTCTTTACGACATTCAGGATAAAATGACCAGTTTACTGTGGTGCTTTGTGTTGTAGTACCTTTGCTTACGACCCCTACGCAGCTGAGATTGCGAAGTCGTTTTTCACGTTTTTGACTTTTGTTATCCTTCCCTGTAATGTATGATTATTAACAACTATAAGAATAGGATCGTTTTCTAGATTATTATTATTATTATACAACAGATCACTTTAATCAATCTTACCTGACACTCTCACCAAAATTAGAAATACATGAATATGTTTGTTTCGTCTGTATGTATTTATACTTACACATTTATAGCCACATTTTTCTTAATTTCAGTTTATAAATAATAAATATCAAAACAGGTATTATTTACATTTTAAAATAAATGGGAACAACATATTTGCTACCCCAATACCGAAGAATTTTATTTTTTTTTTATTTTTTATTTTTTATTTCATCAATTTCTTTTCATCATCAAAGTTAGAAAAATAAATAAATAACTGAAGTTTTTTATTAGTTTTTTTACATATAACTATAGATCAAACTTTCTAAGAAAAACATTTAATTTAAAAAAGAAATGTAATGAAAATGGTACAACTTAATTTAAAGAGATTATATAAAGAAGATTTTACATATTTCCAATAATAACAAAAAAAAAATCACTTCTCAAATAGATTCTCTTATATGATGATATAATGAACAAAACATGCTTTTAAAGACACATGTATTTCTGACATGCAACAACTATTAATTTTGCAAATCAAAATTGCATGCTGGTTTGGTTTGTTGTTCAGACAGTTTTTGTTATTACAAAAAATAACATTCACAATTATTGTTAAATAACATTGATATGTTACATTCGTTATACACTGACAAATAAATAAAAATATTAATAAAACATCCACAATAATTCATTCAAACAGACACATGTAAATTAATGAAATTTATTTATACTTAAGATACCTATATGTAAATAAGTTTTTCCTACATTTGTTGAAATGTTAAGTTAATAAAATTAATTATATGAAAACAAAAAATATAGAATATTTTTATTTGCTATGATATGCAAGTATACGAATTTGTCTTTGATTATTATTCTTGAACACGTGTTGATAATTACACAAAAAACGACACTGATTATGTTTTCTCGTTTACACAAAGAGAACTGTTCTCATGACTTTATAAATATTTGCACATAATTGTCTCATTTTGTGATATCCACTATATGCTATTTTATAAGCTTCAATTGTGACGCGAGATCGTGAATATGCCTACATTACACTTTTATTAATCCATTTTTGTCTGAACAACACTATGCCTCTAATGCACTTACCTCCAGAATAGTACGCCAAGTCTACGTTATACTTACTTTCAGATTTTCTAAAAAAACCCTCCTGTCGCTCCCGAATATACAGAATACCTTCCTTTTCGAATTTCGTAGAGGGTTGTGTTGCTAACGTGACCAGTTCTTGCTTATTAAAACGCATTGTTAGTGTTAGTTGAAGCTTCTTAACTACAAAACAGAAAACCCAAAATACTGAGTGCCAGCAAACATGTTAAGCATTAAAAATTCATCGTGTAGGTGGATTCAAGTGGGTAACTGAAATATTCAAACCACCAAGCTGCCTAACGATACATGTAACATGTTTTGGATAGGAAAAGCCACATTGTACAATATGAAAGGTGACACAGTGAAGAACGTAATTCGGTTTTTGTAAACATACTTAACTGGTTTTAGCAAATTTTTTTGGTCAATTTATTACAATTAGGTTTACTATTTGTGACTTACCTTAACATTCGCTAGTCAGAACAGAAATGTATCACTTACAATTTTAAACATTTTTGTGACTAAATGTAACTTATTTTGTACCTAAAATATAAGATATTTATCACATTTTTATCTAAATTATTTTGAAAGATGACAAGCGGTGAAACGTCAACAAAACCAAATACATCGGAAAAGGTTTGACCCTCTGCTAAATGTGGGTCAATCTACGACATCTCATTTCAAGTGGCAAAACTATAATCTCCTTAAAGTTTCAACTACAGTTCATCTATTTCTTCGTAGATGGCGGATGTTCCGAATTACATTTTAAATTTGAATTTTGTACAAAATCAGACAAAATAGTTACCAGTACAGTAACTTAATTGTATGTGGCTAAACTTCTGAAATTATCTTAATTTATATTATAATTATCATTTTGCCTTGTTATTATAAACAGAGTTTATTTGATAGTCCTGGAACCCAACTAACTAGTAAGTAATCAGAAGCAAGTAAATAAACTCACTGATTTTTTTAACTTAATGACAAATAGATACTTACCCCAGAAAAAAAAAGAAATACTAGTTATAAATATACGAATGTAATTATTTTATCGGTAAATAATATTTTTGTAAGTTTTGTAAAAATATTATTGTATATAATATTAAATAATTCAGGTCCGTATTAGAATATAAAGATTAGAAATTAAAGACGACCACTAATAATGAAACGTCTCAATAATAAAAACATTTTGAAACTTTTTATAAAAATTGCGTTATAGAGATGATAAAATAATTAAAATATGTCTACCTTCCATAGATACTACTTTTGAAAATACATTTTTAGCTATTAAAACTTCAATATTGATCATAGATATCATAGTATTGAGTAAAAATAGTAGTAATCCATTTTTTAATTCTCATTTATAATAATTGCTAATTTGAATTGCATTTTGTACAACAGCTTTGAAAACATACATAGGTACATATTTATAATTTATAAACATTTAAACGGGTTTATTTACGTTTAAGCGCTATTATCAAACTAAACTGATATTATATATACACAAATACAAATGAACTTTAATCGCTTTGAATACAAGATAGCCGGTTTTAATTAGTTATCGTGAAAATAATTTATATGTCGAATTTCGTAAATTATACGTTATTTTTAGTACAGTTTAGTTTAATGGTTATAAATGAAGGTACATAGCAAAAACAGTGACGGAGACAATTCACTAGATTTTCGAGAAAGGTAAGATTAATAGATAGTGATATACTTTTACATCGAGCCCTTTAGTTAACCCCATTTTTAGAGTTACTTAATCTTGAATTAATCTCGCTTTTATTCAGAAAATCGAAGCAAAATATCAAGTCACGGGTATTTAAAGCATGCCTCATATTTAAATTAATGTTATAACAGAAAAATAATATCATATAGATAATATTATACATCTCTATCTTCCATTTTAAGTTTTAAAAATCATTATGAGTATAAGCAAATATGTTTAAAAAAATTTAACTATAATGTCAATTCAAACCATTCATTTAAGGCATCTCAAAATATATGGCAGCCGAATTTCAATATGTGGATTAGTTCTGGAGATATTGGCAAAAAATAAAAAAAAATATTTTTTACGCAGTCTTAAATAACAAAAACTGATACGAAAAAATGTTCGTATCTTATTGTGTTCTAGCATTAATGTAACATTATTTCTGAAACACTCTGTATAGCTTTATTGTGGTGAACTAGGTATATAATTATGTTAATTTGTATTTATCAGTTTATCACATACATAGGCATATTTTAACAGAATGGCTACCTGCAAACGATGTTACACTGAATGAACAATATATACTTCATCTGTTTTTGACAAGTATCTCTCCTTGTTCTGTTCTAGAAGAATTGCAAATGATGGGTGAAGTGACGTGATTATACAATTTGATTACCTGTCGATTTCAATGTACGTGTTTCAACTCGACTCAACCAACCGTTGTATATTATAAACACGTAACAGTTAATAAATACATGTACCACCCATGAATGGTTATGATTTAGACATTTTAAAAATATTGCACGTAACATTCGCTTTCCTTATCTCTTCTGGCTTTCCATCCAAAAAAAAATAGTAAGGATGATGCAGTAGTTTTCTGTAATAAAATTATTAAAATCAAATAAAAATTGGTATATGGGGTTTTTAGCGAAATTGCTTATACACTAGGCAAATAAAATTTTTACTCGAAAAAGTTCCTATCCGCAAGATTATTGTGAAATTGTCTAAAGGAACATAATACAAGACATCTCTCATCTCGTGAGTCAACAAATTTTAAAAGCTATGTTTTCTATTTAAACAAATAAGTGAGAAAACGGTTTTTTCACTTTGCAGGGAAAACCATCAATTTTAGCGAAAAGTGACAACTTGTAGGGAATAAAATTATCTACAAAATGAGACTTGTTAAATTAAAATCGGTTAATAAACAAAAAAGTTATTGCAAAGAAACAAGAAAAGTGGTCATTTTTTAAATTTGTTTATAACTATCGCATTTATTGTTAAAATTTTATAAAACCTAGGACCTATTTGAAAATAATTTGTGAAATTTTACTTTAATTTTACATTTAAATCGTAATTAAATAGCTAACAAAATATTGAAAAAATAAGTTTACTTTGGCTTAAAATGTAAAAAAATTAACTTTTTAAATAAACGTTAACTTCATTTATTTATTTAATAATAATAAAATAATTCCAAAATTCAAATTTTAATTAATATTTCGTTTAACAATAATTTTTGACATTTTGGTAAATTAAAAAAAATTAAGTATAAAAGATGCATTTTTTCTGGGGTTCAGGGCTATTCTACGAATTCGTAAATATGCCCATTGTTATTTTCTCGTCGAGCCACCCCAGTTTAAAAAAAAAGAAGTTTCTACGATGAATAGAAGCCGAGATATTGCAAAATTTTATAGCGCGCATCAATTTGAACTTTGGATTTCAATTTCCGCGCGCGCGACTCGCTTGGACGAGCTTCCCCCACCACCACGCCGGACATTTTACTTAGCAAGTACCTTCTCTTTAAAGGGCTCGTGAGTCGTTAATTTTCCACATTTTTCAATGCAATTCACGGGAAATCGTAGTTTACGTCGTAAACTTTATTTTGCGAAAAATTCAAGTCTTAATATTTATAAACAATTGCGCTACGATTTTTTAAAAAAAGATTCTTATCTTGGCTCCTGTTGGTCGTAGAGGGCACTTTTTTTATTTTAAAACTGTATTTTTTTTCCAGCTATCCATTGCACCTATTTTCGGTGAGATAGCATAAATAGCAACAATGTTATTCAAATTGTTTATAAGCGAAAAACGCACGGTTTTTTAATGCACAATTTGAGAATGTTAATGTCAAAAAAACGGTGATATTTTTTAATAGGTCGCTTAATTGCGTCTTTAAGATTACAATGACGCTTTCAGAATCATGTTTGATTGAAAATTAACGTCTGTACAGAGGCTTAAAGTTCATAACTTTTGGAGCCTCCGCTATAAACAAATAGAATTGTGCGAAAACTATTGCACCTACAGCGCCCACTTTTGGCACACTTTTAAAGTATGACAAAACCCTCAACTTGTCATAGGTTTTATAAAATTTTAACAATAAATGCGATAGTTATAAACAAATTAAAAAATGGGCACTTTTCTTGTTTTTTTGCAATAACTTTTTTGTTTATTAACCGATTTTAATTTAACAAGTCTCATTTTGTAGATAATTTTATTCCCTACAAGTTGTCTGCGAGTCACTTTTCGCTAAAATTGATGGTTTTCCCTGCAAAGTGAACAAATTGTTTTCCTGGCTTATTTGTTTAAATGAAAAGTTAGCTATTAAAATTTTTTGACTCAGATGAGAAATGGCTTGTATTATGTTCCTTTAGACAATTTTACAATAATATCGCGGATAGGAATTTTTTCGAGTTTTTCTTTTTTTTTCGCTAATTTTCCTGGTCTATTAGGATGGTTCACTTTGATGTAAGCTATTTCATAAAACAAGAAGATAACTAGTTCCTCAACGCGACTTACGTAAAAACTGGAACTGTGCGATAATCAGCAGCTAAATAATGAACTCGCATATAAAACTATATCGGAATTCATTACGAAATAATTATACACTGTGTCGCCCCAGGCAACTGTTCGTTACTTTAACGAGAGCCTTGGACATCTGATGCACTCTCAAGAAAAATTAAGCGCCGTCGCCGTCGGCGTCAAGGAGTCACGGGGATACGGACTCAGGTGTGAATCTCGGGTTTCTTTAATTATCCATCTGGACAATTGTAAGATCGCATAACGCCTCGGCGAAATTCGATATCAGAATTATTTTTGTAAACAGCTGTATCAGGTAAAAAAAAATGGTACTGTGCAGTTATATACAGTGCGTTTCATTTTTAGTAACATTGATCGTTTTAATTAATTTAAATTAATGATTTAAGAAATTATTTTAGTATCTAGTTATTGTAGTCCTCTAAAAGGTAGGTATAGCCATGGGAGGCCATTCCTAGGCAAAAAAAAACAGTAGAAAATCGCACCAAACGACGGCTCTCCTTACTGAAACAAAGCCACAATCGAATGCCCCGGCCGCACAAGCGTTCGCTCTGTAATCCCCGTTAATTACCATCGGCTACAAATGACGGGGTAGTAGTAGCAGCGAACATTTTCATTAAAGGGCTTAGCACAAATATACAAAACAAACGAACAACAAACGAGTCACGTAAAAGATTTGTGTGGCTTTATCAAAAATTATCCCAGCTGTCGATGTTCGGCCGGTTCGTATACAGAATTTGTTAGGGATCATTAATATGTATGCACATGGAAAAATAGTTGTATTTCATAAATTTAAATGAACTATAAACTGGGATGTAGGTCATAGCACACGTTATTTCATGAGTTTTTCGCGTGGGGTACAGGGAATTTTGGGAGGTGCTGCTATTTTAGTACAGTCATTGAAGATGAAAAGCAGCTGTAACCTCCGAATTCTTTGAAACTGCATGGATTTGCATGAAAATTTAGAATAAGGCTCATCTTAGGCTCAAGTTCAAAAGTGGCACGAGCCCGATTGACGCTTTTTGTTTTTGTTTTTGAGTGAAAAAATTGAAAAAAC